TTTACCAGCAGACGTTCAGGAATCAAATCCAACCCATTCTTTCAGTATGGAAGCACCTAGCTGTCACAGGGGAGATAGAGTGCTGGGCTTGGATTCGTATTCTGCCGCTGATAACCTAATAGCTGAGTGACCCTGGACACATCACTTAATCTCTGTCTCAGCTTCCCCAACTGTAAAATGGAAATAACAATAGCCCCCACCCTCCAGGGTTGTTGGGAAGATAAATGAGATATTAATTGTAAAGCACTTAGAACAATGACTGGCACCCAGCAAGTGCCTGATAATTTTTTTTTTAAACCCTGATCTGTGATTGGTCTGAGCCTGGTTACCTAAACTCATTGAGAGATGCCAGGTGCTCACTTACTATCTTTTCCCTTATCTTGGGTTTCAATTTCCTCTTAACCCATTTTTGTTTTACTGTTGTCAATCATTTTCCTTGGTATAGGGAAAAAAAAATAGAAATTGGTGATTTCCATTCTCCTTGCTGTCTGTTAGCATTTCCTCTCTCTTTTTTTTATCCTTAGAATAGCTAAATATATACTTTTTGTTGTTCTTAGCATATTTTTTCCCACAAAACTCAGCTGATTCTAAGTTTTAGCCTTTCTGACATTGGATAATGCTGGTTTTGTATTCATCCTTAATTATCTACTTTGTAGGCACACTTTTAAATTCTTGCCCAGAGGTCATCTCAGAACTCCCAATACAGTCATATTGACCTTTTTAGAGGTAGCCAAACTTTTTTTCCTGCAATAGATGTATGAAAAAAATATTTTGTTGACTAGGCTGACAGCTCTTCATTTTCACTATTGAAGAGCATATCCCTACACAGGTAGACCTTTCAGTCCTCTTAATCAATCGATTAATGAGCCTTTATTAAGTGTCTACCATGTGCCAGGCACTAGGTGTTGGGGAGAAAAAGACAAAAAAAGACAAAAAAGCTAGGTGGTGCAGTGCATACAGCACCAGCCCTGAAGTCAGAAGGACCTGAGTTCAAATCCAGCCTCAGACCAAACACTTGATGCTTATTAGCTGTGTGACCATGGGCAAGTCACTTAACCCTAATTGCCTAAAAACAAAAAACAAAACAAAAAATAAAACAGTCCTCCTTCCCTCAAGGCAAGGTTTACAGGCAACAACATGGTTTCTAATATGTAAAAGTAAATATAAGGTAATTTCACAAGAGAAAACAGTAGATGCTAATAGCAATAGGAAAGACCTGGTCTGTAATGGTCCTTGAACTGAGCTTTGAAGGAAACTAGACATTCTAAGACGCAAATCAGAGAAAGGAGTGTATTCTATAATGGAATGTTACTGGGCTATAAGAAATGACAAATAGGGTGATTTCAGAAAAACCTGGAAAGACTTACATGAATTGATGCAAAGTGAAGTGAGCAGAACCAGAAGAACGTTGTACACAGTAACAGCAATAATTGTAAAATGAAGAACTATGAATGGCTTGGCTATCCAAGACAGTCCCAAAGGACTGATGATGAAGCATACTATCTGCCTCCAGAGAAAGAACTGATGTCTGAATATAGACTGAAACATACTTTTTCTCTTTCTTTTCCTTCCTTCCTCTTTCTTTTTTTTGAGTTTGCTTGCAAAAAGTGACTAATATGGAAATGTTTCACATGATTGCACATGTATAACCTATATCAGATTGCTTACTGTCTCAAGGAGGGAGGAGGAAAGGGAGGGATAGAATTTGGAACTCAAAACTTGAAAAAAAAATGTTAAAAACAGTTTTCACATGTAATTGAGGGGTGGGAATAAAATATTATTTAATTTTTAAAAAAGTAGCCTCCAGAAAGAACTGCCTCAGCAGATGTGCTTTGTTTCAAGTGTTCTGGAACATCTGACTATGACTCAATTTACTGATAAGTCAGCATCTCCACTGGAAAGAAAAGCACACCAAAGAGGATCATTTTTTTTTTAACATTAGTACTAGTAATGACTCTCCTAATTGTCAGCCCTGAATTCAGTGTGGTAACAGAAGAAATAGAAATCCAGAGATGTCCACCTGAGATAGAGACCAACATTCGATTCCGCAAATGTTTACTAAATGCCTAGTATGGGCACCCTTATTTCAAGTCTTCTCCCCCCACCCACCTTGCTCAGATACAGAGGCTAAGGAGAATCAGGGCCAATGGGAAGGAACCACTACAAGAAAGTAGAACAGTAAGGGGGTTGGATATTCCATCCGATACCTAATCAGCCCCTGAATAATTGAGAGTTGGCTGTGATACCTCCCCAAGGTTTTGGGTCACATCCCTTCACCCCGCCTACCTGCCTCTGCGGCTAATTTTACAAGGCATTGGTAGAAAGAAACCATTTTCCTTTTAAAAATCTCAACACTGAGAAACATGCTCCCAATGACATTAAAGTTCCATAGCAACTCTTCCTGTGTACACAGACCAAACTTCCTTATAAATCAGCATTGGTCATTTTTAAGGTAACAATTGGTCTCCTTTTGTTCACCCATCACTTACTCCAGTCATGGAAAAAGAAAACAAACCTCAGTTTACATTTTTATTGAAATTCAGCATTACCATAGGAAGAGATCTGAGTCTGAACCCCAACTCAGTGGCCATGTGAGAATGGGTAAGCCACTGAACCTGGCTGGCCTTCATTTCCTACTTTATGAATACTTGCCCAGGGCAGCTAGGTGGCGCAGTGGATAAGGCTCTGGCCTTAGAGTCAGGAGGGCCTGAGTTCAAATTCGACCTTAGACACTTGAGACTAGCTGTGTGACCCTGGGCAAGTCACTTAACCCCAACTGCCTCACCAAAAAGTGAACAAAAAAAAAAAGAATACCTGCCCTCTTGGTGTCAAAGGATCTCATAAGGATGAAGTGAGATAATACACGGGAAAACATGTATTTATAAATTGGCATTGTTACTGTGTGATAGTATGTCCTGAGTAATGTGTCCTTTGCCTTCTCTTTTTTTTGAAGAACTTCTGATAGTTTTGCTGGTACATTCATTATAGGGGAACATGTTACACAAGTACTGATGTTGGGGGTCTGAAGCTAACTCACTTATCAACACTTGCCTTTGAGAAGCATGAGCAGGGGGCCATCACCTTAGTCTGAGCAGCTAAGAGATGATTCCCTTCACCTCTCACCATTTGAGGAAAAGTCCCGGGAATTTTCTTTATTCCTTATTTTCCTATTCCAAGAGGCTGGCATCTAGAAACTATGCTTACAATGAAGACATGGCCTTTTCTCCACTTGGGGTGAATTTCATTGTCTTCTGGCCGCTCCATTTCTCCACTGGCTCTCAGGTATGAACATTTCTTGGAAACTGTTTTCAAGACTCTCAATGCAGTAACACACAACACCCCTGGGACTTTGTGACCCCAGCAGGATTCTGTAGATATAGGGAGGACTCTTAACATCGGGTTTCACCAGGCCTTTTGAGAGGCTCATGAACACAGGGGACAGCATTAGAAGCATCCTATGAGGTAAGGATGCTGGGACATAAGCCCTTGTGCCTGGGAACTCAATTTGACCTTTTGTAGGGTGAGACTTAAAAGATGGCAGTGGAAATCTCCCGGACACTCAAACAAGACAGGGCATTGACTCTCTTGTGTAAGTTCACCTATTGTAGAAATGCTTAAAAGTCTAGCATACATTAGACTTTGCTGCTGTAAGTGGTCATCCTTAAGCCACAATGGAGACTTTCTGCTTACCTTAATTCGTTTTATTATAAATACAGCTTAAAAATGCACTCTGGTAGTCTAGAGTGTATTAGACAATGGATGGAAGAAAGGAAGTAGGTGCTAAGATTAGGCAAGGACCCCATGGACTCACTGCTAAGAGCAAATAGCTCTTAGAAGCTAATGTAGTTTGGCTAGGACTATGGCTCAGGGTCATACTCTTCAGTATCTACTCATCTATGTTCTTGTGTAGAGTGTAGAGCTGAGGATGTCAAATCTTCCCCTCACTGTACAAATGGGTGGACTGGTAATAGTCTTGTGAAGGAGGAGCCATAGCCGACCTACCTACCTTAGGAAATTTTATAATTTAATTCAGGGCTTCTTAAACTTTTTCCACTCTTGACCCTTTCAGCGCTTCAGTGACTCATATGGGGACGTGATCCCCATTTAAGAAGCACTGAATGACACCAGCATCCTTCAAGAACTACATTCTACTGGGAATTTTATCCTGAAGAATTCTATCCAGGTGTGAGCACAGACGCCAGGGCTGAGTCTGAGAAATAAGAATCTGAAGATCATGAGTCAGGAACCAGTATGAAGTAGATCCAAAAATGGAGAAAATGGTTGAAGGAAGAAAGAGCTAGGCTCCCATCAAGGAGACCACAGATAGGAGAAGTAGGAGCCTAGCTGAAATACTGAGAACAAGGGAGTCAACAGTGAGGTTCAGGATGGCTATTCTGGGGGTCCAACTTTTTGTTGGCTGTGAGCTGTTCTTATGTACAAGTACTGCCTCCCTGACTGAGCAATTGGAACCAAAACCCAACGATACAGCCCTTGCTCTGGGGGCATCCTTGACTTCCTCCTCCAGAACTCTTCTGCTTCTTCTATGGTGTCAGGGCTCCTCCTCATGCCAGTTGTAGGAACAACTGCTTTAACCACATGCAAACCTTAATGTGTAACATGTATCTACAAGGCAAGAATCCACAAAAGATAGATAGATGGATGGATGGATGGATAACTATATTACAGAAACATATAGATATCTAGATAGATATAGCTATAGATGTGTGTACGCATATATATATGATATATATACACACATATGTACATATATATTACACACACACATACATACATACAGATATGGAGGTATGTATACAGGAACACACAACTCTTGATTGCCTTGAGCCTCAGACAGGTTACATAACCTGCCTGTGATGGCATGGCTGGAAAGTGTCACTGGCAGAACTTGAACCCGGCACTCACTATATCTGCCAGGCTGCCTCTGAAGTTGTTATCATTAGAACCCCAAATCTCAAAGATGCACAAATCAGACACCAAAATACAATGGAAATGACCAGTACTGTATTTGTCACAGATATAAATTATTTTCTATCTCTGATACCCATAAATTATACATAGAGTTCAGAATTCAGGTCAGTGCAAAGTGCAGTCAGAAGAAAATCACCACATGGCTACAATGCAAAATATATACAGAAAACAGTCTAGGGACATGAAGACAAAACTCATACTTAAATATAAAAAGAAAAAGTTCACCTTAATCTTCTTTGTACACTGACTACAATTGAGAAACAATAATTCTTACAGATCAGGAACCAATACAGTGGCTTGCCAAGCAATGAACAGAAACTAGTAACACCATTAAAATTTTTTTTTTAAAGATGAAAAACTGCAAGTAAACATATGCAATGAGAATTCTCATACTGGAGGCACATGATGAGGAAATGGTATTCCATCGCGGAATGGTTTACAGGTACAATTCATCTGTTCACAGAGTTTGGCAGAAGCTGGAAGGAGGATAAGCAAGAAATCAGAATTGGACGGTGCTGACTGACCCACTTGGACTGATTCCTTGGCATCGGCCACGTGGTTCCACTTTAACACTTAAAAATCAATGTTAGCATATACTGAGGCACTCGGCTTCTCAAACTTGGCTCATCTTGAAGAGGGTTGGGCCAGCCTCTTTCCTTTTTAAATTTTGTTTTGGGTTTGTTTTTTCCCAGCCCTTTCATTTTTTACCACAACAAAAAAGGGAAAGCATCAGAATTATTCCCCAAAGCCCACGACTTCATGGACCCAAACTTCTTTTGAGAGTAAGAAAATGGGTGCACTGTTTATTGCCAACAGCTGATGAAATAAAGACTCCAAAGGATTTCAGTTTAGACAGAGAGGTATCTGAGCCCAGCTCCCTCCACAATCAAAGACTGCCTGCAGTTCAAACTCTCGGTCCCACACCACACTTTCAGAAAGGTCACTGGAGGAAGCATGGGCCATCTGAGTAACATAGAAAGCCACTGTCTTCACACCTGGGGACCTAATGGCCTCTTATCTCCAGAAACCAGTTTGGTTCAAAATGTAAGCAGGAATATTACATAATCTGTCAGTCATTTATCAATGTTTCCTAAGCATCTACTGTATACAGACCACTGGCCCAGATAGATTCTTCACAATAAAGGGATTTTCTGTTCTTTTAAAATAGAGATAAAATTTGAGACAGAAATAGCAACAAGCAAAGTCTGGAGTTTACATAATTCTTTCCTCAGAGAGCCTCAAAGGACAGCCCAGATATCATCTTATTTATCTTTATACATTTTAAAAATTAGCCTTCTTTTTCAGGAGGAACTAGGCAAAGCAAAAACGACTTTTTAATACTTTTTATGTGAGAATCCAGGCATAGGAGGTTCAGATTAACTTTGGGGAAGGTCAGTCTGAATTGGCAAACAATTCAAATTAAAAAAAATTTTAGAAAAAAATTCAGTCTTACTACTTTCAAGTACATTCAGAAACTCAACTAGGCTCAAAATAAGTAGTCTGCTTCAAAGAATTGATAAGAATTATTTGCAATTTGCTGTTAACTATCAGTAAATGTGTGCTTCTAAAGTGCTTGAGAACAATTTGTTCTCTTAAGTAGGTTAAAAGTTGCTTTGCCCCTACTCAAACATATTTATTTACACTGCTAACTTATTCAATAAAGCTATACTCATAAGTAAACTTTGGCCCAAGTATGGTCCTGACTTACAAATTCGGATCTAGAGAGTTCCAAATAAACGGGGTTGATAATGTTCCAGCAGCTGAAACTGATTCTTTGTAAACTTCAGGGAACGTAAGAGTTGAAGAGGAGGTCCCATCCCTTCTAGGTCCTAGCCCAGACACAGACACTGGTAGCAAAAAGTTGACGAATACAAATGTCATGTCTGAAAGCACAAATGCCTTAAAGAAGAGAACCCTTAAGTCACATCTTCCAGGAATATATCAAGAGGGGAATTAATCCTTGGAGTTCTGAACAATGAAATGTTACACATGATTTTCAGAATCTAAAGATCTTTTTAGGCAACCATTTCCAACTATCCTGCACTAGTTGGCCCTAAATAAATATCTCCAAGATTGTTCTCAGCTTGACATTCAACCCATCAGAATCTTAGAAAAGACTGATACAGGAAAGGTCTCAATTAGGATCGGGGAGAGTCCTATAGTTTAACTATGTATGGATGTTCATGTCTACAGTCTTTAGTCTTCTAGAAAGACAAAAGTCCACTTCTCTAATCCTCAGTCTATCATCAGGGCAAATGACCACACAAGAGAGGAAAAAATTTGTTTATTGCTCTTTCCCTCAGGACAGAAAATCCTACCTTTGGAAGTAGGTGATAGGCTTTTCAGTTTTAGTTACTGCAGATGGCCTGCTCTAATGAATGGAAAGAACACAAGATTGAGAGGCAGAAGAGGTAGAATCCCAGCCCTCCCAATTAAGAGTGGACGTGGATAAATTACATCCTCACTCTGGGCCTCACTTTCTTCCTTAGTCAAACGAGAGGACTGGACTCTTAAGTTCTCTATGCTTCTCTGCAGTTCTGTAATGGTCGGTGTTCTCTAAATATTAAAAAGTGCCAGCATCCCACTTACCAAGGGAAGGTTAAGAGGTATCATTGGACCAAGTTAAATTTTAAAACACCTTAAAAAGAAAAAGGAATACTTTTTGCTATGTGCTTCATTTGTTTTAGCTTTCAGAGCAGATAACCACTTAACTTTCATACAAAAATTCAAACACTTAAAAATAGGGTTTGCCTGGCTCAGGCAGGAAAATTCCAAGTGCCTCATCTGCTCTTTGCTGGGAAACAAGGTCTATAAGCCCTACATTTATATAACCCTACATTTCCTCCATGTCCACTCCCCCAGAGATGAGAGTGACTCTAAGTAGGTTCTAACACCCATCAGTGAGATATTACCCACCATGAACCTTGCTGCTGAGAAATCAAGTACCCTGCTGTATCGCAATGCTTATTTAATATAAAAATACTGACCATAAAATATAGAATGTGAGATGATAAAAAATGCCTCATATATATTTAAAGCATTTGTAGATTAATTTCTCCTAATGAAATATCTCCATATTTCTCGTACACTGTGTTAGGATCAAAGATTTGGGGTAAGAATGGCCCTAAGAAGCCATTAGATGTCGAAACTGAAGCTCAGGAAGGGGGCCACACAGGTAGTGAGCACTGGCAGTGGGAAGTATCTGATCCACCTCCAGAGGAAGGGCTCTTTCCACACTACTACAGGATTAACAAAGGACTGGGAGATTTGGCCTAACGCACAGGAAGATTTTGTAATCTCTACCTAAGTTTTGGGTTGGATTTAGCATATGTACATTTTTTTAAAAATCCTCATTTTGAAGTAAAACAGGCATTTGCAACTGAAACCTTGGAAATTTATATCAGCAGTCAGACAGCCTTATCTATTTCCTGAAAACATTCATAGCCCTTGAAAAATGGATCGATCCTACATTCTGACAAAATGTAAACTTTCTTGCCTCTTTAGTTAGCTCAGCTGGGTTAGCAATCTGCCCAGAGGATAACACCTTAGTGACACTCATCTACTGAATGAGGCTAGGTCCCCTAGCTATCCAATGTCTTGTGGCCAAAGCACCATTTAAAGAAGACTGAGTATATAGCCAACAGCAGCTGAATAAAAGAGACCCCAGTAGGATGTTTCACCAAAACAGTCCCTGTCACATTGTGACTACTGGTCCTGACAATAATCCAGAGGTAGGGTGTGAGGATGAGGGAGGTGGGCCAGGTCTGAAGGGTGGGATCTGAAGCTGAATGCCCAAGAACACCAGGCACATCTCTCAGTACCACTAGGTAGGGAAAGACCTAATCACTCATGCAGACTGTTCAGCTCTCTGCAGGTGCCATAGGTAACGGTCTCTGGCATGGAAGGGGTCAAATGTTCAGACAAAGGTCACTTGGGGACGACTTGATCCATTATGTAGACACAGACTAAAAATTTGGTATAAAACTGTCAAGACAAAGAAATGATGCCTTTTCATTGTTAACTCAATCTTCCTAATTGGAGTGCCTCTGAAATCTTCAGAAAATACTTCTAATTTTAGTGCATCATCCAGCCTCTAGAACCCCACACATTTGGCAAGAAATAAGGAAATCTACAGAATGGTTATTTTTTTTCCCAAAGGGAAATGCCTAATTCTTTATGTTAATTTTCATTCTGAAAGAGTGTAGCATTCTTGTAGGATAGGTGAAGTTGTATTACCCATTGGCTGTCCCCACATTAGTGAAGTGTCATTCTTAGGTCTACGTGATCAGATTGGCTACCGCACTGGCCAAGATGCTAAAGGACAGGCCAGTAAAAAGGAGAGGAAAGTAATGGCAAGAAAACACCCTTCAAGGGACTGGTTGCAGAGGGAAGCCCATGAGGGGAAGATAAGACATTATAGCAATATCACCTGTACTGGTTCTCAGTGCAAAGTCTTCTAGTGGGAATAGGAGGCGATTTGTCTGAATGATATCGTCCAAAGGAGAGGACAAAAAACTGTGCATCAGCATTCATTCCTTCCTTTACCCTTTATCTTCTCAAAACTGCATCTGTTCTTTTTTACTTTCCCTAAATTTTTCCAGAGAGTATTTCTTGTCTTTAATATTCATTTTAATTCAGTGGCACTACTGTACACACACTGGGAGTCCTTGGCACCCTTAAGTCTATTATTTAAAGACTGGCATATAGCATCCATCGAAGATGACATCCTCTGTCATCCAATCAGGAATATATGTACACGTCGACCACAGATTCTCACCACAACAAAGTCTGGCACTCGGCAGTAGGGGATGTAACAGGTGTGACTGATTCCACAAATATCTCCATCAAACACTCCAAAGGCAAAGGGAATAAACTGGCTACGGTCAGGGCCTTAATCTAAACTGTACTACCAAACTGTGGCTTTGGACAGGATGTGACCAAAGCTAAAACTGTTTGGAAGGCATCATTAGAGTTTGCCGCAAACATTCACAACCACCAAGAACTTAATGAAAAGCCAGCTTGGTGCCAGATGAGTCTGACCTCAGTAATGGAGGTAAATGCCCACACCTTTTCTGATTCTTGTTTCCTTGGGAGCAGCTGTGTACATGAACCCTTTTTGGTCTGGGAAGAGCAAGCTAAGGGCCTGACAAAAACGGCCAGAAATTGCATTCGATGGATAAGTAGATGCTTCTGATTTGATTCTGGTGCAAGTTAATGAGTGACCTTGTCCCCAAGCTTATACTGGGGATAATCTGTTTCTTCTTCTAATTTCTTTATATGGCAAACCTCAAGATGAAGGAATAGGTTCCTGAAAAGCCATGGAATGCATACGTTTCCAAGCCAAAGAGCACAAGGGGCAGATGGGACTTAACATACAGGAAACACGATGAAAAGGCAGCGATGAACATGGTATATCAGCAAGCCTTCCTTCCCCAATTCCCTGCCCCAGCCCTGGGGTACAACAGGAAGCATTCATTGGCCTTGGCCTCCACACCGTCTTCTATTTCATCTCTCCTTCTGAGCCTCCGGAGCTCTCAATTTTGGCATCCTTCACACTTCCTGTTCCTTTTTTTGGCTTCTGCTTTGACTTTTTCAACATGTGAACCTGTAAAGGTGGTGGCAAAAGAGATGAAAGCTTATATTAAATTGTTACATAACTGAGTCAGAGGTCGCAGAATCACCGGACTTTAGAGTTGGAGGGGGACCTCACAGATAATCCAATGTATCTGGAGGGAGAGGAACTGGGTATGAATCCTGGGCTCTGCCCCTTACAACCTCTGGCAATGCTTCTCACTTCACTAGAACTCAGTTTCCTGATCTGTAAAATGAGGGGGTTGGGCAAGATGACCTTTAAATCTAAGATTCTACAAATCCTCTCCCTCTACTGATGGGAAAATATAGCCAGAAAAAGGAAGGGAAGGGGCAGCTGGGTGGTACAGTGGATAGAGTAGAATCAGGAGGACCTGAGTTCAAATGCGGCTTCAGACACTTCACACTTACTAGCTATGTGACACTGGGCAAGTCATTTAACCCCCACTGCCTAGCAAAAAACAAAAACAAAACAAAACAAACAAACAAAAAACCAGAAGATGAGGGACTAGCTCAAGGTCATATAACAAATAATGAGCAGCATTATACCTTTTTTCTTTAATTGCTGCTTTCTGTTTTTACACAACAGCATTTCTCCATAAACACTCCCCACCCCAAAATCTACATCACAATACAGAAAAGCAGATAATCAAAACCAAATGTAAATGATTACATCAGCCAGTGTATATGACAGTGTATACACATGCCCTGCCTGTGGTGTCTGACATTTCTACTGAAAGAATGCAGGGAGAGAAGGAGAGAAAGAGGGAGGGAGGAAGGAGGGAGGGAGGGAAAGAAGGAAGGAAGGAAGAAAGGAAGAAAGGGAGGGAGGGAGGGGAGAAGGAAGGAGAGAGAGAGGAAGGGATAATGATAACCACTCACATTTCTAAAGCATTTAGAGGGAAAAGAGGAAGGGAGGAAGGGAGGAAGGGAGGAAGGGAGAAAGGGAGGAAGGAAGGAAGGAAGGAGGGAAAAAGGAATCAGGGAGGGGGAAGGAGAGAAGAAAAGAGGAAGGAAGGAAGAAGAAAGGAAGGAAGGAAGGAGGGGAAAAGGAGGGAGGGGGGAAGGAAGGAGAGAGAGAGGAAGGGATAATGATAACCACTCACATTTCTAAAGCATTTAGAAGGAAGAAAGGAAGGGAGGGAGGGAGGAAGGAATCAGGGAGGGGGAAGGAGAGAAGGAAGGAGGAAGGGAGAAAGGAATCAGGGAGGGGGAAGGAGGGAGGGAGGGAGGAAGAAAATGCTTTACAAACATTATCTCATTTGATCCCCACAACAGCCCTGGGAAGCTGGTGCAATTGTTACCCCCATTTTGCTTGGATGACTCAGGAAGAGAGAGACGCATGACTTCGTGCAACCCTGCCTTACTTAAATTCAATTCATGTGCAAGTCATCACCCCATGATGTCACTGGACCTCTTTGAAAACAAAGGATGAACAACAAAAGTTGAGAAACTGAAGCAGATTAAACGACTTGCCCAGGTGGTAATTGAGACCTGATTTGAACTTAGATCCCTCTGACTGCAGAGTAGTACTCTGTCTGCTGCTCCACCTAGCTGTCTCTAAGATGTCCTTCACCCTTTGTTCCCTGGGACAGAGATTAAACATTAGGATTAATTAGAGCTGACTAACTTGTAGTGATGTTTTCATTTCCATTTCCTAGTTATTATGCACACTGCTCTCCAGGTTCTTGCACTGCTACCTTGAGACACATCACATGACTGGTCCAGAGGTGGCGGGGCTGACACGCATCAAGATATTTATCTAATGTAACTGCTGTTAGGTGAGGTCATATGAAGCCTGATTTAGAAAATGGATGCTAGGAATGGAAGCCACTTAAGAAAAGGTCATGCCTTTTGTCTTTCCAGCAAAAGAACAAAATGAATGGCAGGCTTAATTCTTCTGTATTATTAGAAAATAACCTTAAAATCTTAACCAAACGGCACATTCACTAGAAGAAAAACTTTTGTTCCTGAAAGAAAACTGCTAGGTTTTCTCCCTTTGGAGATTTAAAAATTTTTACTGATGTTCTTTGTTTTCCCATCACTTTCATTTCTCAATATATTCCTCAGGCAGAGAGCTATCCCTTGTAACAAAGAATAAAAAAGAGAAAACTAAAAGCAATTCAGCCATTTTAACCAATACCCCAACCCAGCCCAAACGCTCCACACTTTCTGTCTCCAGCCTTTGCAACAAAGGGGTGTGTGTGTGTGTGTGTGTGTGTGTGTGTGTGTGTGTTGGGGGGAAGGGTGTACCCTAACTCATCCCACACCCTGCTGTCTTAATCATCTTGGAACTTGGCTCCTTTCATGTCCTCCAACTAAGGGACATATTAAGACCCCATATCATCTTTTAGATAATGATAACCACTCACATCTCTAAAGCATTTAACTTACATTGCACTTTTCCTCACAACCTTGTGGGATCGGTAATTAAGGGTGTAACCTATAATTCTCATTTTTATGGCAAATGAAATAGGCTAAATTGCCAATTACACAGCTAGTAAAATTCAGGGCTGGAACTCCAACTGAGGTCCTGCGACCTTTTCTAATGCACCATTTCTGCCCAAGATCCCAACTCTCATGCCTGCCACAGGCACGCCCATCTGTCATTTATTGCTTCATATCTTACTTATTAACACAACTTGCTCCCCTCCAAGTAAATCTATTTTCTGACTGTCCTCCATACAGATCTTTAACCTCTGGGGCTGGGCCCCTGCTCCTCCCTTTGTCCATCATGTTCTTTTTTGGCTCTTGATGACAGTTAATTGCTCCTTTCGGGACACACCTCACTCCAAGACGGTCTGAGATCCTCAGATTTTCCCATTCTAATACTGGCTTTGCCATTGACTAGTAGGATGAACTCATGTAAATTACTTTGCCTATCTGTGTCTCAGTTTCATCACTAATAGAGTTAACAGTGGCTCTGTTTCCCTCAGAGGTTTGCTGTGAAGATGAAACGAATTGAAAAATGCTGACAGCACTTTGTAAGTTACTGTACCAGGATAATATAATCACATTAAATATATGATTGCCATGCTCTGAAAGTAACATGTACCTTTGGTCCAGCAGCAGAAATGATCATGTGCCCTGGGGACTGGATCCATGGCTCTCCATCAACTTGTACTGGGATTGGCTTGAGGAGGGTGACCCGGAAATAGGAACCCTGGGCGATTCGAATCCCTGAGCGCAATCCCCCCTGCACCTGTCCCTGTGAGGATGAAGGGACCTATTCAGTGCTTCCAACCCTTACAGGCCAAAGGCAAAATTCTAAACAGATTTATATGAAGTCAGAATAGCAAACACTCAGAGATCCACAAGGACTCAGAAGGACCTCCCCATTCCTCACTGCCCCTCCACATCCTACTCATCCTTTAAGACCCAGCTCATATCCAAGTCCCCTAAGCTGGATGTGAATAGGATGAGGAAGACATTCCACAGAGGGAGAGAACAGAATAAGCAGAGGCGGGATTGGTCTTGTCAGGTACAGAGAGAATGGAGAGGAGCCTGGTCTAGATGGGAAGGAGGGGGACAAACTGGGATAAGGTGGGAAAGATGGAGCAGATTGCTAAGGAACTCAAATCACAGGGTGACGATCTGGGATTTTATCCCATAGCTAATGAAGAGTCATGGGTGTTTGGAGACCAGAGATCCTTCCTGAACTCACCAGCTGCCATGTCATTGGGTCTAGTCTTGTTTTTCAAATGACCTTCTCCCTTTCTTCTTCCCCAGGAATACTCCCTTCTCCCCACCCCACCCCTCTAATCTCTGAATCCCAGAGAAATCCAACTACACTCTGGGAGCCCTGTCAAAGGAACATGAAGCTCTCAACGACAGCGAGGAAGTAAATACTGCTTTTCAGAGGACTTACCATGTGAACGACGCCCGTCACCCCAACCACCTCCAGCAAACCATCATCAATCCGTGGCTTCTTAAACCGAGCATCGTTGTCGGACCCCCAGAGATCAGCTCCAGAGCCCCAGCTGCACCAATGAAATCAAGGGCAATGGAAGTGAGGAAGATCTGGGACCATGTTTTAAGAGAGATGGGGGTGTGGCTATTTTGGAAAAACAAGGCTTCTTTTCAAATATTCCACAATCCAAGCTACCCATTCACACTGACCAGCCCCTGAAGAGCCTTATCGCTCAGGATTGATGAACCAACCTCCTTCTGAGGACCAGTTTGGGCGTCCTTCCTCCACGAAGCCTTCCCTGATCTTTCCAGCTGGAGGTGTGACCATCCCCTCTCTGTCATCACAGAATTTTCCAGGCCACTTGGCATTTTCTGGGCATCTCACCATATTCTAACTTGTATTGGGCTTATTTGTGCATGCGTTTCACCCCCTTCTCTAAAAGAGGGCTGAGAGTGTGTAGTTGCTTTTCAATTCTGAATTGCCAGCGCCCAGAACATGACAGCTCCCCAGTATATCTTGGCTACATTTCATCGAACAGCCCCTTGTTTGGGGTCTGCTGAACACCAGCAGTCTGGATGCTTGTTACCTGGGGATGTTGATGAAGATCAGCCCCTCGATATTCGGCAATTCCACATCGTGCTGGTCCACCTGAAGTCGGATGTCCTTGTGGAGGTTCCTGGTGTGACTGATCTTTTGTAGCCCAACTTTGACATACACCCCTTTGTTGTGGAATCTAAAGACAAAAAATCCTTACCTTCACAGGTGTCTCCAGCCCTTTCCCTCATTACTAGTGAGTGGAGTCAAGAGTGACGGGACATAGGGCTGTCTGGCCTACCTCATGTTATCTGGTTATGTGGGAGCCTCCTTTAAGGGGGAAGGGGGAGGGAAGGAGGAGGCAAGAAGCATTTATTAAACACCTATTATATGCTAGGCACTGTACAGAGTGCTTTACAAATATTATCTCATTTGGTCCTCTGGGAGGTGAATGCAATTATTACCAAAATTTTACAGATGAGGAAACTGAGGCAGACAAGAGGCTATGTGACATGTCCAGGGTCACACATGGGTCTGAGGTGAGTCCCTTCCCAGGCCTTAGTATTCTCATCTGCAAAACCAGGGGGCTGAAGTCAACAATTTTTAAGGCCCCTCCCAGCTCTAAATCTACAATTCCAAGATCCTAGGGTGGCCAAGCCCAGCATAAATTTCACCTTGCCCTTGGTCACAGGGTTTAGAAAGTCCATGACGATTACCTGCTATTAAATTTGCCCGGCTCCTCTTCTCTTGCATGGTGGAAATCCAAAGTCAATTCTGCATCAATTCCAAGTCCACAGTAATTGTTCATCTGTACAATCTGGGGGAGGGGAGGAAGCAAAGTCAAAATGGAAATGTCACCACGAGGAGCCATAAGTCTCTAGGCCATCTCCGCTGCTCCCAGGCTACTCCTTTATCGGCCCAGGATGCAAAAGAAATGCCACAAAAGAAGTGATTTCAGTCCCTTTGGATGAGGCTGATGCTGATTCCTGGAGGCCTCACCCCTCAGTGTAGAGGGAACAGATTAACTGCCCTCCCCCACCTACCTATGCCCAGTCTATCAGGTATGGGCTGCTACAGCATTCTTGGACCTGGCCTCCCTGTCTTGACCCTCCTCCCCCCCCAATCCTATTCATCTGTCCCACACAGCACTGCCAGTTTGGCCCTCCTATAGCACTTCTCCTTGCTTGGGCAACCTGGAATAGTGATGAGAGAGCTGGGACCTCATTATCTGTATGACCTTGACCAAGTTAATTTACTTCCCAAACCTCAGTTTTCCAAATTCAATTTAAAAACATTTATTAGGCTTTTACTATGTGCCACGCACTATGCTAGTCCTAGAGATACAAAAACTAAATGGAGGAGGTGGTGGTGGTAAAAAATATAATGTGTATACAAGCAGATGAGAAAGTATATACAAATTAATTACAAGGAAGAAAGAATGCCACTAATTGGAGAAAGGAAGGTTATGAAATCAGGAAGGGCCTAGTGTAGTTAGGGGCACCTTAGCTGGGCTCTGAAGGAAGTCAGAGAGGCACAGGTAAGAAGGGAGTTTCCTTGGCATGCCATGCCCAGGGGATAACGCCAAAAGTGCCAAAGCAGGAAACGGAATTTTGGGCACAGGGAACAGCTAGCAGGCCAGTCCACCTAGCCCAGAGAGGGCATGAGGAGAACTCATGGGAAATAAGACTGATAAGATTGGTGACAGCCACACTGTGAAGGGCTTTAAATACCCAGGCTGAAGACTTGGTAGTTTATTCTAGCAAACAAAAAGAAACCACTGCAAATTTCTGGGTAACGGAATGATGGGGCAGGGCTATGCTTTTGGAATATCCATTAATCAGCTGTGGGAGGATGCATTGGGGACCAACATCACAAAAGTCCAAGCAAGAGATCACTAGGGTAGAGGCTTATTTACAAAGAGAAAGGGATGGACACGAGAACTGCTCTGTTGGCAGGGCAGACAAGGCTCGGCAACTGCTCAGCTGTGGGCGCTGAGAGAGAAGGAAGAGTCAAGACAACATGCTTGGATGACTGGCAGGATGGGGATGCCTTCAGGAGAAACAGGGACATCTGAAGGAGTGATGGGTTTGGGAGGGAGGAGGAAATATAATGAGTTCTATTTGGAACATGATGAGTGTGAGATTTCTTTTTTTTTTTTTTGGCTAGGCAATGGGGTTAAGTGACCTGGCCAGGGTCACACAGCTAGTAAGTGTTATGTGTCTGAGGCCGGATTTGAACTCAGGTCTTCCTGAATCCAGGGCTGGTGCTCTATTCACTGTGCCACCTAGCTGCCCGAAGTTTGAGATTTCTGCAGGGCATCCAGGAGGAGATGTCCTCCCTAATAAAATGCCATTCACCAGTATAACAGGAAGAGTAATGCTTACAACTACCTGCCTCACAGAGTTGTCGTGAGTGATGCATTTTGTGAATGATAAAACTATTACTTTTTTTTGGGGGGGGGGCAAGTAGGGGAAGGATAATACTAGTTGAAAAAGGGGAGAAGGCATTAATACTATGCGCCAGGCACTGTGCCAAGCAAGCACTTAATACTATCTCTTTTGAAAAAGCCATCACGACATTGTAATCTAGTGTTTGATAAAGCCAAAGACCCCAGCATCCGGAACAAGAATTCACTATCTGAAAAAAGAGTTGGGAAAACTGGAAAACAGGCATAGACCAACATGGTATACCATATATCAAAGGGGAAAAAAAATCATACATGGCCTCAAACTAGGCTTGAATCTGCACTCCAGCATTTATTGGCTATGTGACCAAGGCAAGCCATTACTTCACTTTTCTGGGTTTTTTAAAGTTTGTCTGCAAAATGAGGGACTGGAGTAAGTGAACTTTAAGGTCTCTAGATTTACGGTCCTGTGATTTTCAAATGGTGCCCAGGCAGGACAAGTGGGTTTTCTAAGATGTTTCCTACTCAGGGGTTGGCACATAGCTCATTTCCCATAAGGAAAAATCTTTTGGCTAACACCTCACCATGTTTTAATAGATAGAAGGATTTGAGAAAAAAGTAAAGGATCTGAATTCTATTTTGATGGGGATGGGGGTGGAGGGCCTCAATTTCTTCATCTATAAAATAAAGGTGTCGGACTAGAGAATCTCTAAGGTTCCCTCCCAATTCTGTCTAACATCTTACATCCTGGGGTCTCTCCCTACTCTGTCATTCTACCATCTAGGGTCCCTTCCAGCTCCAAATCCAGAATCTTGGTGGGCAAATAATTATTCCATTATTTCAGGTGATGAAAAAGATTACCTTTGGGGGCTCAGGATCAACCACTCCATTCTCAGTGTTCTCGACAACATCCTGAGCATCCAGAAGGATTGTCCATCGGTCCATGAGGACATCGTCAGCTTCATCCACAGATACCAGAATGGAGAATGGGTCCTCCCCACTGTAGCCCGCTCCCCAGCGCAGCACTCTGCCCAGATCATTACCTGGGAAAACAAAGCAGCATGGCCACTCATACTTCCTTAAAACGTCCAAAGGAAATAACTATTACCCACCTCCAAAATCTCCCCCCTCATCTACTCTATTCTTTAGTTAAACCAGAGAACTTATCAGGTCCTCCAACCTATTCAAGACAGTTTCCCTTATCTTTGTTCAAGCCCTCCCCTGTACCTGGAATCACTCCCAATTCCCCATTTCTGTCCATACAATTCCTATTCATCCACTGAGTTATACTTCATTTTCTTTTTTAAAATTCCATTTTATTTTATTTTCAGTTCTGAATTCTCTCCCTCCCTTCTCCCCTTGTCTCGTCTACTGAGAAGCAAAGAAAAACAAAACCTGTTACAAGAATATGCAAAAGAAATCCCCTTATTAGCCATGTCTAAAAAAAAAAAGAAAGAAAGAGAAGGAAATATGTTTCAATCTGCACTCTGGGTCTATCAGCTCTCTGTCTGGGGGTGGACCATACGTATCATCAGGAGTCCTTTGTACTTGTAACTGGTTATTATGTTGGATGGTACTCCCAAGTCTTTCAAAGCTGATCACCTTCACAATATTGCTGTCACCGTACAAACAATTCTTGTGGTTCTTCTCACTTCACTTTCCATCAGTTCATACAAGTCTACTCAGGTTTTTCTGAAACCATCCCGATGTATACTTCAAATGAGGGATTCGTTGCTATAGAGGTGAGGGCCTGAGCCTTGGGAAACCTGAGTTTGAGTCACCACCTTGCTGTGTAACCTCAGGCAAATCTAACTTCCCTCGACCTCAGGTTGCCTGCTCTGTAAATTGAAAAGGTAGGGCTACGTGGACTCTAAGGTCTCTTCCAGCTCTAAGAGCTTGTTATTTCATCAGAGAAGTCTTCACTGATCCTCCCAGCTGCATGTACTCTCGTCATCATCAGAGGTCTCCTTTCACCTTCTGCCTCTTGTGCTCCTAGCATATGTCTTACTCCTCCCCTTTTTCTACTGCACTGTTAAGACCCCTTGATGACTGTGACTATGTCTTCTCCAGCAGCCATCCATCACCACAGTCTAGGATGGTGCTTGCAAAGAACCGGCACCTAAAAAATGTCTGCTGAACAAATGAACAGGTAGCCACAGAAGGTGTGATTACCATAGTACTGGGAAATGCCTTTATGGCTGTTAATGCCTTTTTTGTTGCTATTCAGTCATTTCAGTTGTACCCAACTCTTCATGACCCGCTATTCAGTCATTTCCGTTGTACCCAACTCTTCATGACCCCATTTGGGGTTTTCTTGGCAGAGGTACTAAAGTGGTTTGCTATTTCCTTCTATAGCTCATTTTATAGATGAGGAAACTGATGCAAACAGAGTGAAGCGACTTGCCCAGGATCACACAGCTAGTAAGTGTCTAAGGACAGATTTGAACTCAGAAAGATGAGGCTTTCTGACTCCAGGCCCAGTGCTCTATTATCTGTGCCACCTGGCTGCCCTGTTAGTACCTAGAACTCTCTTACAGCAGCAACTTCATTCCATTGGCCCTAGGCCTTGATGGGGACAGGGTAGATACTGGAGCTGCGGTTTCACTGGTATTGGTACACCCAAAGAGGACATTCCTTCTGCTTAAGGGCTTAAGTGACTTTCCTATCTTTATCCAGTAGACCTTGATGCCTTCTTTTTTTGGGGGGGGGAAGGGCCTAGGCAATTGGGGTTAAATGACTTGCCCAAGGTCACACAGCCAGGTAGTGTCAAGTGTCTGAGGTTGGATTTGAACTCAGGTTCTCTTGATTCCAGGGTCAGTGCTCCATCCACTGTGCCACCTAGCTGTCCCGTTGCCTCTTAAAATATAAATACTTCAATGGAGGAAAGGCATAGCAACAATTTAAGCTCTTCTCATTTAGTGATACCTCTGTACCTCTGTGTGAATGAGCTTTCATTCCTCCTTGAGAACAAGTCTGATGGGAAGAGATCAGAGAGGATAACTGCTCCTGAGGAGTTGGAAAGGGCTGCCCTTGAACAGAGGGTTGAATCCCTAGAATCCTTTAAATCACCACCCAGGTGTGACCCCTAGAGGAGTCCTTTCCCAATTACCAGCACATCTTCTGCAGGGGTGGGAAATCTGCAGCCTTGATGTCACATGTGGCCCTCTAGGTCCTCAAGTGCAGCCCCTTTGACTGAATCCAAACTTCATAGAACAAATTCCCTTAATGAAAGGATTTGTTCTGCTATGCCCAAAGGGCATATCCTTTGACCCAGCAATACTACTTCTAGAGATCATAAAAATGGGAAAAGGACCCACATGTACAAAAATATTTACAGCAGCTCTTTCTGTGATGGCAAAGAATTGGAAATTACAGGGATGCCCATCCACTGGGGAATGGCTGAACAAGTTGTGGTATATGAATGTAATGGAATACTATTGTGCTATAAGAAATGATGAGCAGGCAGACTTCAGAAAAACCTGGAAAGACCTGCATGGACTGATGCTGAGTGAAATAAGCAGAATTAGGAGAATGTTATACACAGTAACTGCCATGTTGGGTGATGACTAACTTAGATAGACTTAGCTCTTCTCAGCAATGCAAGGATCTAAGACATCTCCAAAAGCTTCACGATGGAAAATGCTATCTACATCCAGGGAAAGAACTATGGAGTTTGAATGAAGATCGAAGCATACTATTTGCTCTTTTTTTGCCCTTCTGTTTTATTTTGTTTCCTCTTTCTTACGGTTCCTTCTGTTGGTTCTAATTCTTCCTTACAACGTGACTAATGTGAAAATACGTTTAATAGGAATGTATATGCAGAGGCTATATCAGATTTCATGCTGTCTTGGGGAGGGAGGGGGAGAAAATTGAAAACTCAAAAGCTTGTGGAAGTGAATGCTGAAAACTAAAAATAAACTAATTAATTAAAAAAAAAAAAGGATTTGTTCTGTAAAACTTGGACTCAGCCAAAAGGCCCCACCCAAGGACCTAGAAGGCTACATATGACCTTGAAGCTGCAGGCTCCCCATCTCTGTAAGGGTTCTAGCTCTCTGTCTCTTGAAGAAGACGACATAAGGTCATATTCTGATCAAAGATATATGGAAAATACTTTGTAAACCTTAAAGTACTAAAAACATATGAGTTATTATTTTTCTGTCAATTGCCAGTTCTCATTTTCACTGTCTATGAGCCATCAGGGAGGCAGCAGAAAGAATTCTGGACTTTCTAAAATTCAAGAGAGCTGGGTTTGAATCTAAGCTATGACAGTAACTGTAAACTAGGCTATTTCCCCTTCTCTGAGCCTCAGACCTCTCACCTATAAAATGAGGAAAATACAACTTACATTCCCTACCTCACAGAGCTGTTGTGCACAAAGCATTTTATAAACCCTGAGGCGCTACAGAAACCAGGAGCGATGTGACTGTTTTGACACAGGCTGTCTGCTGCTGTTCATCATGAAATGATTCTCTCTCCCTCTCCCCCAGGGTGTCACCCTTTTCCTCCCCTTAACTCCTCTTTCCAGGGTCTGAACGTGCTCACCTGTACCCAGAGGTAGGATGGCCACAGAAGGCTCTTGGCATGCCAGTTTGTGCCGGATCTCTTCCAGGGCTCCCAGCACCCAGCCCACGGTGCCGTCCCCACCACACACCAGGACTCGGAAGCAGGGGACTTGGGAGAACATGTGAAACCTAATTTATTAGAGAAAGAAAAAAAGCATCTCACTTACTCTGGGGCTCTAAAGCAGCATCAAATTCATTCCTAACAAATTCTCACTCCTAAATCACCAACATGAGCAGAAACTTCTTCATTCAAACACAGATCTAAAGTCACTTTTTAATTACCTAGAGAGATTTACATAAGAAACCAAGGAAATGGCCAAGCATGATGCCTGGAGGGAAATTCTGCATTCTAGGTAACAGCATGGTCTAGACAAGAGAGATGGCTAGAAATCAGAAAACCTGGACTCGGGACCTGGATGTCACCAAGTCAACAAGTGACCTGAATCAAGTTATGGCATCAGAGCATCTTAGCGCTAGAAGGGACCTTCATGTAGTCAATTCCCTTCTGAGCCTTCTTTTCTTCATAATAGCTAACAATAATAATAAATAACTAGCATTTATACAATGCCATAAAGTTTGCAAAGTGCTCTACATGTGGGATTTCATTCGATCCTCACAACAACCCTGGGAAGTAGGTGCTGTTAAGACCACACTCATTTTACATGTGAGGAAACTGAGGCAAAAAAAAAAAAGGTTAAGCGCCTTGCCCAGGGTCACACTGCTCTTCAGTGTCAGAGGACACGAACTTTGGTGTTACTGATACACGTTCAGCATTTGTGTGAATGGGGGATGGATGGTGATAAACCTTGCCCCTGCCTGAGATCTGGGGAGAGCACCCAGGAAGGCTAAGAGTGCCATGACAACAGAAGGAACTGTTCTGATCACAGCTCATACACCTACGCTTTAGAGGGACACGCCACAGTCTGAGCAGGGAAAGATCCAGCAGGAGAGAGCAGGATGTCTTCTGTTTGGTTCAAAAGGTCTTTATTTTATTTTGTTGTTCAGTTCCTAGGCACCCAGGAGACAAGTTCACGTGACCCTGGCCTCTCTGGGCAGAAATCTGAATACTTTATGCTGTCCTTAAAAGTTCAGTCTTGAGTGATAAACAAGGGCTTTCTATTCTCTTACGTTGGCAGGAAGAACTTGTCAGAAGAATTACTGACCCAAAAAACCCCCTTAAGTGTGTTTACAGCTTTCTTCTCTTCCTGGCCTGTTCCCTCTGCCATCCATTTGGGCCTCTGAGCAGCACCTGATGCCATGGAGGTCCTCGCCCAGGGGCTAGTCAGGCCTGTGATGGGGGTGGGGTGTCTGCATACAGAGCTGGCTACCTGCTGAGGCCAAGAGCACGAGTCTGAGTCCTGCCTATGTGGGCTGTGGCATTCTGGTCCATGAGGATCAGGAGTCCACTGACCTGGGTTTGAACCTCCTGGCTCAGCCACTTATTAGCTGCACAAACTGGGGCAAATAACTTTCTTTTCTGGGTCTTAGCTAGGAGATTGGACTGGATGATCTGAAAAGTCCCTTCCAGCTCTACGTACACGGCTAAGACCCTAAGAAGCTTGTGTGGCTTTCTAGCAGGGGCCTAGCTTGGCACAAACTGATTATCATTCCTGAAGGCATAGATTAAACAGCCTTATCGTGCATAAAACATCCTCTCTCCCCATCCCCATTCCCCCATCACTCAAGGACAGCAACGTTAGACCCGAGAGAAGGAAATCACTCACTCACTCTTGGGCCTTCCCAGAACTCGCCAACCCCAGGCAGCCAAAGGGGCAGTGGGGCTGTTGTGGGGGGGGGAGTGGTCCCCCCTGCCATCCTGGAACTTCCAAGCCTGTTTCCCTCACAAGACTTGGATCCAGATGTATCTAGTATCAATGAATCACGCATCACATCTCACAAAGAACAGCCCTTTTCATTTGCCTCCTAATGAAAGGAGGCTAATGTCTTAGCGTGTATGTTTATTATGCTTATCCTTACCTGTGTCTCCTTCTGCCCTCCACCCCAATACTTTGCCCTGATAATTTAGTGGTACCTAACCCTTAGGAATTGTATATGAAATATCATGATGGCTACTGTCCTCCACCTCCCCTCTTCTTTAGGCCAAGGCCCAATATAGGGACAGATCCTGAGGTTAGCAACAAGGATGCTAGTCAGATTAAGTCAACCCAAAGACCTCTATCCCTGAGGTCTAATTGGTATCTATTGATACTTACTATCTTAAGTCAAATAAAGGGGACCAAACTGATTCTTGGGAAGGGGGAAGAGGGGTTGGCCCACTGAATGTAGAGAAAAAAGGATTAGGCCTGAATTCATGCCACATCTAGTAACTGGGAGGGGAGATGCTTGCCACTTTTAAAAACTATGGAAATAATGGTCAAAGATATTATAAACAGAATTCAACTAACTCTACCCTCCTTCCCCTATCAAAAACAAAACAAAACTCTTCTCTCCCAGGATTTTTTGTAATGTGTTTGAAGTTATGAACAACCTTATGAAAGGTTAATCACCAATAATAAGAGAAATGCATATCCAAATAACTCTAATGGTTAACATCATACCCAGCAAATTGGCAAAGGTAACAAAAGATGGGAAAAATTCATGCTGGGGGTGGGGGTGAGGGGGTTTGAGCAGAGACGGGAACACTAATGAACCATTGGTGAGTCAAAGCTGATAGATCTATGCTAAGAAAGTGACTGACATTTTCATATCTATACTCAGTGTTTTTTAGCTCTGTAAACTTGGCCAGATTTTGTACTCCCCTGGCATCACCTTTGAGAGGTCACCACCAAGCTGGGGGATGTACAGAGAATGTACATACTTTATACGCCAACATTCAGGGAGGTGGGCACATCTCCAGGCACAGGGTTTGGTATTTTGTGTCTCTTTGTCAGGCTTGTTTTTGTCAAGTAAAGTTTAGTGGCTGGTGTTTTAAGAAACACATTTTGGTTTCTTTAGTAAGTTTGACTTTAAAAAATAAAGTCCCTTACAATTCAATAGCATTCAATAAATAGTCACCTTAAAAAATAAAATAAAATTCAATTCCCCAGGTATGCATCCTAATATTCATGCCTATTGAAAAACTGTTTTGAATTCTCCACTTTTAAATAAATCTTGACATAGACCTGACCCTCCAATCATTAGCATATTTATACTTTTTCACTTACAATCTAATTCCTTCTCAGTGGACACTCAGTGTCCTAAGAAGCCAAGAGACACTATGCTCTGCTGTTGATGGAAAAGACACAGGAGCTTGGTGGGAATCTCACAGATGCCATGACCAGACCCAGCTATGCCAGCAAAGCTAGACAGAAGAGCCTCATACTTCAGGCGTCTGAAATCCATTCAGTATTGTTTCTACCCCAGAGTCTTAGAGACAGAATCCAATTCTCTGTCTAGGACTGGGCACATAACAGGTGCTCAATAAGTAAATACTGATTGCATGCACTGGATAAAGGGTGTGTGTAGGTTCAAAAATGACTATCTGGAGAACAACACAGTCAGCACCTATAATGTCTGAAATACGTTGCAATAAGGATTGAGAATAAGCTCCGTGAATGAATGAATATATGATACTGATATGTAGATATAGATATAGACATAGATAGATAGATAGATGCGGGGGAGAGAGAGAGAGAGAGTGCGGGGAGAGAGAGAGAGAGAGAGAGAGAGAGAGAGAGAGAGAGAGAGTAACAGCTAATATTTATATCACTTACTATGTTCTAGGCTAAACACTTTACAATTATTATCTCATTTGATTGTCACAACAACCCTGGGAGTTAGGTGCTATTGTAACCCCCATTTTATAGATAAGAAAACTGAGACAAACAGAAATTAAGTCACCTGTTCCAGGTCTTAGCTAATAAATATCTAAGGGCAGATTTGAACTCAAGTCTACCTGACTCCAGGCCCATCCTGCACCACCTAGCTGCGTTGATTAATTAGTTAATTAATTAATGGAAAAGCATTTATAAGTGCTTACTATGTGCTTTGAGGGCAGGGACTGTCATTTAAAAAATTTTTTTATCCCTGGAGCCCTAACCCACAGGGCCTTTGCATGTAGAAGGCACTTCACAAAAATTTAATTGAATTGAACGGAATTAAATTGAGTACCCAGAGAGTAGAGCTGGAGAAATCATTATAGCTGCTATTCACATAAGTGCCCTAGGGTTTGGCACCCTTACATATATCGCTTGTGCCTGACCACAACACTAAGTTAGGAATGTTAGGTGTTATTATGCCCATTAAAAGTTGATAAAACTGAGGCTCAGCAGTTAAATGAGTGGCCTATGGTCACACAGCTAGTAAGATGAACAGGGATGATTCAGACCCAGGTCTCTGCTAAGTCCAGTGCCCTTTCAACTACACCATTATAACTAGCATTTCTATATCCGTTTAAGGTTTGCAAAGCACTTCATAAATATTACCTCATTTACCCATCACAACAACCCTGGGAAGTCAGTGCTATTATTATCATCTCATTTTACAGATGTGGAAACTGAGTCAAGCAGAAGTTAAGTGACTTACCCAGGGTCACACAGCCAGTAAATGTCTGAGGCTGGATTTCAACTCACCAGGCCCGGTGCTCCACTGTGCTGCCTCTGAGTAAAAGCCTGAGCACCTAGAGAATCAGGACTGAATCCTTGGAGATGTTCTACTAAGGGAAGGTCTTCTAAATATGGATCCTGACATTAGTCTCAATACCTTTCTACCAGCAAAGAATAACTAGGCGTTTAAATGTTAGGGGAGCAAGCCCTGGACTAGAAGTCAGGAGATCTGGGTTCAAATCTCACCTAGCACTAGCTGCTTATATCACCTTGGACAAGTCCTTGTCCCTTCTTTGGACTACAATTTTCTAAGCCATAAAATGAGGGAACTGAATTAGATGATCTCTGCAATCCCTCCCCAACCTAACAATTTACAGATCTTCATCGTACTAAACACTTCAATCCTGCTTACTGCTCTAATCCCAAGGGTAGGCTACGAAAGGGCCAGCTGTGCTGCGTGTGTGTTTCCTGGAGGGAAATTCAAGGTCGGAGGAATCCAAACTGTTCTGTTTACTAATGGTCACCAATGGTTACTGCCCTCCCACCCCCACACCAAGGCCAAGGCTGTTCCCCGAACACTTTGCTTGCTTGTCGAGGTAGAACTTACTGGTTGCATGGGAGGTGGGAGCAGGGAGAGGGGGTGTGGCGAAGTCAAGATCTCTCCAGGATGCTACTTACAGCTCAGTGGCCACCTACCCAGGGAAAGGGCCTCCATTGGTGAGCTCAAAGACCTGGTGAGGATTCAGCAGTTTCCTGAAGCTACAGAGCAGGTCGCGGCCTTTCAGCCCTCCACTTTTCGGGTTCACAAACACAAGGAGTGGGCAGCAGTCTGGGGGCAGCTTCGTGTGCTGACAAATACAGAAAGGCCGTGTTAGGAAAACAGCAACATTGTGAGCCATGGGCAAGTGGGCTGCCTTCAGTGGGATTCCCCTCCACTCCATCCAACTTAACTCAATTTGTCTTTCCTGAACCAACCCATCTGGACAACCCCTTTACAGGTGGGAAACTGAAGACCTGCTAGTGGCAGAAAGAGGACTTGAACCCAGGTCTTCTAACTTCAATGCTCCTTCCATTGTCATGCTGTCCCTAAAGCCCTCGGTGAGTGGGGCCCCAGGAGGCTCTGGCAAGGCCCAGGGCTATTCTCCCAAGTGGCAAGAGTCTAACCTGGGGGTCAGATCAGCCCAATCACAGAGCTGCCTCTTATCCACCTCTCTTCTCAACTCCCTTTCATATGTTATCTTCTCCCATGAGAATGGAAACCCCTTGAAAGGTAGGGAGAATCTCTCCTTTTTGCTTAACATGGCGCTTGTCACAGTCAGGCTTAATAAATAAATGCTTGTTTATCTGACTTGCTCACTCCAAACACTCATCCCCATCTACCTGAATACTAGCTACCTCAGCTCAAACAGTATCTCCCTAACTCGGCCCTAAACATCATCCCCCCTTACTCTGGGTTACTGCTCCCCTCTTATTTCCCACTGAGGCAGCTGGTGGTGTAGTGAATACGGCACTGGGCCTGAAGTCACACACAGACTCAGACACTCCCTAGCTGTGTGACACTGAGTAATTCACTTAACCTGCTTGGCTCAGTTTCCTCAACTATACAATAGGGATAGTAATAGCACCTACCTTGCGGGGTTATTGTGAGGATCAAATGAGATAATATTTGTAAAAAGTGCTTAGCACAATGCCTGGCATATAGTAGGCATTATATTAATGCTTATTCCCTCCCCCCCATCTAAAAAATAAGGGGGCTATACTAGATGACCTCAGCTCTATGCTTATGCCCCCTCAATCCCAAACAGCCTTATTTTATGAGCAGAAAGTGTAAGTGCAGGCTTTGACCTGATGTGAGCTTGGACAAATCATACCACTCTCTGGGCTGTGATTTTCTCCTCTTTAAAAAGAGGATATTGGAATACAAGATCACTAAAGATTCTTTAAGCTCTACATTATATAATCTATTATGATTCTCAAAACTAGATTATTAAATTAGATAAATTAAATTAATAGGTTAATTAAACAGAATAAGTTAATTAATTAAACTGTTGCATTATAACAATCTAGACAATTTTTAGGAGCGACACCAGAAGTGGAAGTGGAAAAATCCCTTGACTGGACAGTGAAGGCACCTGGGTTCTGGCCAGCTTTGAGCTAAGCTGTGATGTGACCTCAGGTGAATCACTTCCCACCTCCAGGCTTCCATTTCCTCCCACATAATATGGAGGCTTGGTACCATCTCCAGACTTCCATTTTCCCCTAGGTAAAACGAACAGCCACTGTGAAGGGCGGTGAAACAGACAGGAATGTTTGTGGACAGGCTGCCCAGATCTCGAGTGCCAACATCACCTCAGAAGGCTAGACTTGCCCATTCACCTCAGCAGCGACGGATGGGTTTTACCTGAGGCTTTAGCCAATGTCAGATCACCCCTCCGTGGGAAATCCTCACACCTGACTCTTGCCACGTAAGGGTTCCTTCATTCAAATCTCAGGACACTTTGACCTAGAACTGAGCAATTACCTGCCCATCAGGCTGTCTTTTGCCTTTCTTTGCATCTCCAGTGCTTAGCGTAGTGCCTGGCTCATAATCAGTACACAGACTGAGTGACCAGTGGTAGGAACACAAATATTAGCATGCCCTTTTTAAAGGTGAGGAAAGTGAGCCTCAGAGAGCCTCCTGAGTGATCAATATCAGCATATGTAAATGGAAGAACCCTGGACTTGGATTCCAAGGACCAGCTTTTAAATCTTGGTTCTGCATCTTCCTACCTATGTGATGTTGGCCAGGCCATGTCACCTCTCTGGAACTTAGATTCCTCATTTATAAAATGATGAGGTTGGACTATATGACCTCTAGCTAGCTTTCCAAAACCAAGACTGTTCTACAATGTACACTTCTTACAATAACTGTGAAGGAAGGGTCCTACACACTACTATTTCATAACTGCTCCTATATGGTAGTTAGTACAAGTGTGATCATCCCCATCTTACAGAGAAGAAAACTGAGGATCATGGGAGGGAAGTAAATTGTCTAAGGCCACACACTTAGAAAATGGCAAAATAAAAACTGGAACCCAGGTCACCTGACATCAAATGTGGCGCTCTTTCCTTTATATCATAATGCTTCTCCCATTAGGACATCTTGGAGGAATCCCAGAGCATGGGATGGCCTGGGTTTACTCAGAATGAAGAAACCACTGGGCTCCATATAAACGAAGCCTTCCGCACCTCCATGTCTCTAATGACTCCACCAAGCCGGAATTGGCTAGACCATCTTGAAGGGATCAGAGAAAAGGCTCTGCTCTTCCCTGACCAGTACCTCTGCTCTTCTGGTCACCCTGTACTCGAACCCGAGGCCGGACTAACTAGTTCAAGGTAAGACAGTGTTACAGTAGACAGGCAGTAGCCTGGGAGTTAGGACACCTGGGTTCTATCTCATTCAGAAGAGCCGAAGGTGAGCAGCGTGACCTTTTGGGAATCATGTCAATTCTCTGTTTTCTCTTCTGGAAAATGTAGAGGATGATTCTTACCCTTCCTCCCTCCCTCCCAATGTCGTGATGAGGAAAGGCTTTCACAAAGCTCAAAGCGATAGAGAAACGATTATTGTTATTGAATTTGAGATCAATCAAGATTCTAACCCCAAAGCCCAAATTACCTGGACCCAGTGTCTGATTTTAATTTTTTAGAAAGGAAAATAATAGGAAAGCAAACTCTTATTAGGGACTTAGAAGAGCAATTTCTAGGATATATCACAGGCTCAATTCACATCCAGCCCAATCTCTCTTAAACTCTTCCCTGTTTGTAATTCTGAGAAATAAAAAATTGGTGTTCAGAATGACAGCCCCTGGACCCTGGAGTCAACAAGGAAAAAGCATATCACATTCATTAAATTTAGATATACTAGAAAAAAATAATTTTAACGGATTCTCAGCAGGAAGGGATTCGTTGGACCATCCAGAATAGCCCTTAAATGGATGATGAACAAATTCTCCTTTTAGGATGTCCCAACAAATGTTAACCAGTCTCTGCTTGGATACTTCCAGTGACAGGAAACTCACTACTTATTCAAGTAAACTCTTTTGTCCACCCCAATTCAACTCAATAAACATTTAATAAAATGTCTATTATATGCAAATCGATATGCTGGGTTCTGGGGATAAAGAGGTAAAATATGACACACAGCCTCTGCCCCTAAAAGAGCTTGCAACCTAGCAGGGGAATGAGATGTTACAGAAATAGAAAAATAGGAGACATAGAATACCAGTCAGAAAATGACTCCCATAGGAGATGGGATGAAGTCCGTAGGAGAGGTCGAAAAGAAAAGGCTGAGAGTCTCAAGGACAAGTAGCTGGATGATTTTGATTGTTTGGAAGTTTTTTGTTTTTCTTTTTTTCTTCTTTCTTTTTTAAACAAGAGGTTGAAGTAGAAACTCTAGCCATGCTGCCTTCAGGAGAAACAACCCTCACATAAGACAGATTTGGATCTAATTATCATGGTAATATGGAATTACAGACCTTAGTGGTCAATACAGTGCACAACTGGAAGAGACATTTAGTGCGAACCCCTTCTGAGCAGAAGTCCTCTCTACAACACGCCCAGCACACGTCATCTAGTCTCTAGTCAAAGTCTCGTTCCAAAGGACGGGGAATTCACCACGACCTGCTAATGCTGCTCATTTCACTTTGGGACAGCTGTGTTAGAAAGTCTTCCTTACCCCAACCCATCATAAAGCTGCTATTCTCCCCACCCCTCCACCGCTCCCTCATCCCCTGCATACAAGTAGAACCTACTGTCTTCATTTTTGTGAGGACACCTATCATATCATCAAACCCCAAATCTCCTCTTCTTCAGACTAACCATCTCTAGTTACTTCAACTAGTCCTGATACAGCTTGGTCCCTAGTCCCCTTCCAATCCTTGCCACCCTCCTATGGATGTGCTCTAACTGATTAATGTCCTGTGATGCTGGGAACTAAGCACCGTATTCTGGATGTGATTGGACAAGGACAGTACAATATGACTATTTGGTCTCTATTTCTATTAATGTGATCTCAAATGCACTGGTTTTCTTGACTATTGACTCATACTGAGTTTGCAGTCCACTAAGATTCCCAGATCTTCTTCACACAAACTGATGTAGCCACATCTCCCCATATTTTTTTTTAAATCTCGAGCTTAAGACTTTGTATTTATCTGTCTAAATTTCATCTTATTTGCTTCAGCTCATCATTCTAGCCTATCCAGATATTTTTAGATACTGATTCTCTGTCAACCATCATAGATCGATGTCATCTATTAATATGGTTGGTATAGCAAGTATGCCATCCATCTATGGCTTCATCTACGTTGATGATTAAAGCAGTGAACAGCAGAAAGAAAGACAGGTCCTGAGGGCACTCTACTGTAAGCCTCCTCTCCACGAAGACACTGATCCAAGCATCAGTATATCTCATTTATTTGGCATCTCCAGAGAACAATGAGTTCTGCATGACTGAATTTTTCATTATGCCTCAAAATGACAAAAAATTTTTTTAAACTTTTTTTGCGTACAGAGCATGTCATATTGGGCGAAAGAAAGAAAAAAAAGAAAGAAAAAACTGTATTCCTCATTTCTGAGACATCTTTCAAAGGAATAAAATCTATATTGGCATACACTGAAAAATGACATTGATTTTTAGGTTGCATTCAGATTTTTATAAGCTAATTTTGTGGGGAGGAATACAGCCTTAATGGGTTTACTGGGAATTCAACCTTTGCTTTATCATTCAGAGTCACTATTAATAGCCTCTACTACTTCAAGGCTCACATCAGGTACCACCTTCTTCAGGAACCTTTCCCTAGTTCCCCTC